TCAGTACCTTGGTCTGGTGGTCTGGTGTCCTCTGAGTCTTTGTAGTGTGGAACCAGGTGGCTGCCTGTCTGCAGCGGGGTGATTTGGCGTCTTCCGCGGGACTCACGATCTCGGTAGGGCGTGCACAGACCTGCCTGTCCGCAGCGGGCTGATTCGGCGTGTTCTCTGCGACTCAGGACCTCGGTAGGGCATGAGACTTCATCTTGTTATTAATGCAGGATCACAGCCATTAAGTGTGTTGATGGAAAGAAAGAGACTAGAAGGAAGGAGAAAAAAATAGGAGGGAGCTAAAGTTTAACCTGTTGAACAGAACTTATTAAAGCAGAACCTGCAGTTCTGTTTCAGTCATTCTTTTTTTTTTTTTTTGGTACTGGGGATTGAACTCAGGAACTTGTACTTGCCATGCAGCCACGGTGACACCGAGCTACATCCCTGGCCCATGTTTCAGTCATTCTTGAACATAATTTTATCTTTAATATGGAATCTTCCTTATCTAGTCTTCACTGAGGAATTCACATGTTTTCCATGACTTAGAGTCTGAAAGTAAATCGTTGAATGATCTGTCTGTAACAGTAGAAATGACTAATGAGCTTATGTTTGTTTTTTTGAGAGGCCACCTCCCTGTTGCCCAGGCTGCTCTCTAACTTTTGAGCTCAAGTGATTCTCCCCTCTGAGCCTCTTGAGTAGTTGGGACTATGGGACCCAGCTTCTCCTCTGGAGTAATTTTGAGTGCAGATGACAGTTACCAGGGCCTCAAAATTTTTGTTTGATGCAGACCTTGAAACTTTTCGTTTATTCACAGCCATTTTAGCCATACTAGATTTCTTTCACTTTTCATTCTTCCATCTCTCAACTTCTGTTGGCACAACTTTCTTCTGCATGATACTGCTTTTATTTGGTTTTTAGGGACAGTTTGCTGATAGAAACCTTGGTTTTGTTATCTGAAATATTTATGAAAATTTCCATTGTGTTTTGAGAACAGCTCCTTTATTTAATTTTTTTTTAGTTTAATCATTTATTTTTATTTGTTTAAGGTTTTTGTTTTGGGTTTTTTTTGGTACTGGGGATTGAACTCAGAACCTTGCACTTGTGAGGCAGGCATCGGAACAACTGAGCTAAATCCCTGGCCCCTAAGGTTTTTATTGTTTTTTATTTATTTCTTTTTTGCTTAAATTCTTTCATTGGTACATTTTAGGTATATAATACATTTACATTTATCACTGGGTGCTTGTACCTGTACCTGATGGATCTTGGTTCTTATTTGTTCCCCGTTCCCTGTGCTCCCTTCCCTATTTACAAAGACTTTGTTTCCATTTTTTCCTTTTCTTACAATTTTTCCCTTCTTTCCTTTTCCCTTCCCTTCCCACTTCCCCTACACCTTTGGACCTTTTCTTCATATTTCAAATGATTCATTTTAATCATTTTAATCCTTATTTACACTTTCAGTTTCTCACACTAGAGAAACTATTTGGTATTTACACATGTGTGTCCTATTTATTTCACTTAAGAGTATGGCCTCAATGTGCATCCATTTAGCTATAAATGTCTCTAGTTTCTCATTCTTTATGGCTGAGTAGTAGTCCATTTTATTAAAAAACCATATCTTCTTTATCCAGTTTCCAGTTGATGGGCACTTGGGCTGCTTCCAAGCTTTCGCTATTACAAACTGTGCCGATATAAACATGGGTACACATACATTGCTGTGGTATGATTCTTTTAATTCTTTTTTTTTTTTGTACCAGGGATTGAACTTGGGTCCTTGTGCTTGCAAGGCAGGCAGCAGAACCACTGAGCTAAATCCCCAGCCCCCAATTCTTTTAATTCATTTGGGAAGGTACCCAGCAGGGGAATAGCAGGGTCAAATGGGACCTCTAGCCCTAGTTCTTTGAGGTATCTCCATACTGATTTCCACAGTGGTTGCACCAGTCTGCACTTCCACCCAATGGAGAAGAGTTCCTTTCTCCCCATCCTTTATTGACTATTAAGCCTATTTTATGTTAGCTTATTTAGTAGAAATTACAATATACATGATTGACTTATTCAGTATCTTCAAATAATATACTATTTATTCATAAACAGTGAAATAAATTTTCAATAGTGTAATTCTGTTTACACCCCCCTTCACTCTTTGTGGTCTTTGTTTTGCAGCTTATTTCCCATATATTTTTTACTCTAAAAATTTGTTTTGCTTTAAATGTTACCAGTCTTTTAAAGAAACTTGAGTACATGTGTGTGTGCATAAATAAAGTAGATTTTTATGTTTATATACATATCTATTCTTTGGATACTTTTTTTTCCTATAGATCTGGACTATCTTACTGATACCTTTTCCATAAGCCTAAAGAATTTATTTTATCATTTCGGTACTAATAGTGACAGATTTACTCAGCTGGAATTTCTGAAAATGTTTTTCACTTTGATTTTTGAAGGGTATACTTGTTGAATTCAAGAGTGCTTCTGCACTTTTAAGATGTATTTGCCTTCAGTTGTTTCTGATGAGAAGGCTGTTATTCCCTTGAACATAATTGCTCTTTTATGTTTAGTTTTTTAACATCTAGACTGTGATGTGTATAGGTATGGTTTGCTTTGTGTTAATTTTTCTTAGAACCTAACAAAGACCTGTAGGTTCTTGGCTTTTACCATTTAAAAAAAATACGCGGAGTGGGTATGGTTGTGCATGCCTGTAATCCTACTACTTGGGAAGCTGAGGCAGGAGGATCACTGAGAGTTCAAGGCCAGCCTGGGCTAATGGTGAGTTCAAGGCCAGCCTGAACTACATAACAAGACCTTGTCTGAAAAATACATACATACAGGGCCTAGGATTTAGCTCAGTGGTTATGGCGCCTGCCTCACAAGCGCAGGGTTCCGAGTTTGATCCCCAGTACCAAAAAAAAAAAATACATACATACATACTTGGGTACTCACTCTTCAAATACGCTTTTTTTTCCATTCTCTTTTCTTAGGATTCCAGGTACATAAATGTTGGACTACGTATACATTATTCAGAATGCCTCAAATGCTATATTTATTTTGAGGTATTTATTTTTTGTCTTTTTTGGATGTTATCTATTGAGCAGATTTTTTTTCCAGTTCATAGTCCCCTTAATCTTCCCTGTGCATGCTCTTCATAAGTTCATGAAATCTACTTCTCATAATACATTTTTTAATTCTATTTTTTTCTCTGATAAATTTCCCCATCCTTACATCTGTATTGTCTACTTCACTAAATCATTTAAGATTTTTACTGGCTAGGCATGGTGGCAGATGCCTGTAATCCCAGCATTTAGGAGGCTGAGGCAGGAGGATTGCCACAAGTTCAAGACCAGCCTAGACTACATAATGAGTTCAAGGCCAGCCTGAGCTACATAGCAAGACCCTGTCTAAAAAAAAGATTTTTATCATAATTACTTTAAAGTTCTTATCTGCTAATCCTAATCTACATTATCTGTGGGCCTGTTTCATTCAGCTCCATTATGTAATATGAATTAGTTTTGTACTTCTTTGAATGTCTCATAATTTATTATTAAATGTTGGACATTATGTTTAAAAGAACAGTAGATTCTAGAGATAGAAGTAAATAATAACACTAGAAAATAGTACAACCCTTCTTCTCTCTGGTTGCTAAGTCAGTCTGATACATATATTTGAGCTGGTCTTGGGCTTCAGTTAGATTCAGCTCACTGACCTCCAGTGATTTAGGCCCCCGTCTGCATTTTAGCCTTGCCACCAGGTGTTCTTTGGGTAACTGAGCACTTTCTGCCTGGAAGGCAGTGCTTTCCCCACCTGAGGTGTCCCTGCCTGGAGCACCGCTTCTAGACTTTGGAGTTTGCTGCACTCAGGCATGGCCTTTGGGAAAAAATGGTGGGTGTTTGTATTTCAGAGCGTCCAAATCTATTATGGAGCTTCCTATTTGGTTCTAGAAACTGCTTCCCCATTTGGACTAAGCTGACCACTTAGAAATATTTGATGAGAAGTAAAAACTGTTCCATAGATAGGAAGCTTCTTTTGGGGAGCTCTTGAATTTAAAATCCCACTTAGTCAACTATCAGGTAGTATCAGAAGCAGTTAGTGCAATCATTGTTGACTTGCTTTGTGATTGCAGCTTTTAGGGATTCAAACTCACAAGCAAACAAACATTGTTCAAGGTTTTTCTCTTCTGAAGTATTCCCCAGCCCTAATTATGTATTCTTTATTCCTAAAATGTACATGAGTTTGCCGGGGATTTAGCTCAGTGGTTCCGCTGCCTGCCTTGCAAGCACAAGATCTCGAGTTCGATCCCCAGTACAAAAAAAAAAAAAAGAAAAGACCTACAAATATACATGAATTTGACCATCTAATAAAATCAAACATGATAATACAAAATGCAAAAAACTGTCCTCATTTGTGTCCCTCTTGTATCTAGTATGTATTTGTTATAGCACCTTCTATACACATTGCCTGCGAGCATTTATATCTTTGATCCCTGTCATAAATTTGTTAACAGGAATAATTACTTTTATTCATCTTTGTACCTTCAACAAAGTTGTAGGCACAAGAGGTGGGGGGTTCAGCAAATATGTATTGAACAAATGTCTACATAAAGCAGAGTTGGCAGTATAACATAGTTGTCCAGAGAAAATTCTGTCAGTACATTAGGACCTAATTTAATGTGTGTCCCTCCTTCTCTCTTCCTTCCTCTTCCTTTCTTCCTTTTTCTCTTTTTTCCTTTTTTCCTTTCTTCTCTGCCTCCCTCCTTCCTTCCTTTCTTTCACTGGAGATCAGAGCCAGGGCCTTGTGCATGCCTAGCAAGCATTTTACCTGAGCTACATCCTCATTCCTTAATATCTCTTTTCAGAGGTACTCTTTCTAGTCACTGGTCACTTCAGATTGAATTGAAATATGTCGTTCCAGGGTCCTGTGACATTAAAGGATGTTACTGTGGAATTCACCAAGGAAGAATGGAAATTACTGACTCCTGCTCAGAGGACCCTGTACAAGGATGTAATGCTGGAGAATTACAGACACCTGGTCTCAATAGGTGAGAAAGACTTCCCCATATGTAACTCCCAGTAGTTTCCATTTCTCTTCCCAGTTGCTGGAACATGTAAGGTTCCTATAGGGAATGATACTAGCTTTGTTTTAGGGGTCAAAGTAATAAATTCATTTTGGGTACCAGAAAAGTATGTGTCCTAATTGGGATCTTCATTGCTTTCCTGAAACTGTATTTCCTTACGGAGTTCCTAAATTCCAAACAATTTTTATCATTTCCCTCATCTTTTCTATTAATAGGTTACCAAGTGAGTAAGTCAAATGTGGTCTTGAAGTTGAAGCAAGGAAAAGAGCCATGGATATTGGAAGTGGAATTTCCACATCACAGCGGCCCTAGTGAGTTAGAAGTTATACCCCATGTCATCAGGAGGGGGTTAGTGCTTCTTGCCTTTTGAAATATTTTTTAGGAGTCTTTCTGAATTCCCTATAGTTTGGAAATGATTGCAGACACCCTATCTGCAGGAATAGATAAACCTAAGTCATACCTCCAATTTTTGTTCTATTTAAATTCCTCTTTGCTATACATTTAAAAAATAAATGTAGGTTGGAAATGAATCCCCAATATGATGGTATTTGGAGATGATTAGGGGGGTGACTAGGTCAAGAGAGTTCTCATAAAAAGTTCCAGAGATGTACATGTACCAACTTCTCATGATGAATATAATCATTATGTACAGTAAACATCTGCTAATAAGATAAATTAATTAAATAAAAGGTTCCAGACAGTAAAAAATAAAAATAAATAAATACATATAGTTCCTTTTCCTGTATACAAAATCTAATCCCTGCCTAACCTTATCTGAGAATTTTATGTTTTTCTCTAGAATTCCCAGTTACTCTCTGCCATTCAATTATAATCTTAAAGTGTTTTTAAATCTGAATTATGGATGGGTTTTCAAATGACATCTCCCACTTTTATTTATTGATTGTTTGTTTGTTCCTTTGTTTGAGACAAGGTCTAGCTTTGTAGTTCAGGCTGGCCTTGAACTCATGGTGATCCTCCTGCCTTAGCCTCCCAAGTGTTGAGATTACAGGCTACCATGCCCAGCTTTCCACTTTTAAATTAACATGGCTTCATTATTTTTAGTACCAGTTTTAACAACCTCGTCTCTCTTTAAACTCTGAATTCAGGTTATAAATCATTATGCTATTCATCCTTTATATATTTCAATAGAATTGATACTTCTATATGCATTTATCCTTCACATGTAGTACTGATTACTTTTCTTAAAATCTACAGTATCAGTCGACACTCCAAAAAAACAAACAAGCAGACAAAAGTACTGTACCCTTTTCTGGGTATGAGGATGCCAAAACAATCACAACCTGCTTCCTTGAATGTTTTTATGATCTTCTAACTTGCACACTGATGTGTTGCCAGGATCAGAAAAAAGGCCTAATATGTATTAGTTGCTCAGTAGATATTAGTTGAATGAATTTTTATTAACAAGACAAAGACACATTTTCTGTGTTCTGCTCTCTGTTCCTGTAAGTGCTCACTCCTTCTTAAGACCAAAGCGTGGGTCTTTATGCTGACAACTCCTAAAACTGACCTCTCCATCTCTGTCGTGTTTGTATCCTGGTTCTATATTTACCCTCTTAGAAGATGGTTCCATTTATCTCACCCTTTCCTTCTTACGATCAAGAACAAACTTTTCATTGTTTGTTTTTTTGGAGACAGGGTCTCACAAGTGCTAGGATTGCCATCATGCACCACTACACCCAGCCAAACTCTTAATTTAAATTCTGAAAAGTAGTTGTATAATATAGCAGATTTATATTGCCACTGGCCTGTCACGGTAAACTAATCCTGACTCACTATTATGGAATATATTTAAATTAATTTTCTCTGGAGAACAAGTCTGGCCTTCTCTTGCCTACAGCAGCTTATTTCTTTTAGCCCCAAAATATGTTAATCTCCACTTAATCATTTTGTCACATGTTTTGCATGCTTGGAATCGTATTTCATGTGTATCCAAGTTAACCTGGCCTGAGTCCCTATCACTTTCTTCACAGATGCTATGAAATGTCAACCTCACATCTCTGGTTAGAATCTTTTACTTTCATGGATTTATTTATTTTTTGTTTTTTGAGACAGGGTCTTCCTATGTAGCCCAGGCTAGCCTTGAACTCACAGCAATCTTACTGCCTCAGCCTCCCAAATACTGGGATTAAAAACCTGTGACACCACACCTGGCTCCTTTCATGCATTTACAGATGAATGTGTGTGTGTGTGTGTGTGTGTGTGTGTGTGTGTGTGTGTGTTCCCTCCTGTGGGTTAGAGGAGAGCACTAACATATATATTATATATATGGTCTGAAAAGGTTCTAAAATGATGTTAACTAATCTAGTCTTTAAGGGTGATGTAATAAATTGAAAGCAGAGATGTAGGAGCCAAGATATGAAAGCAGAATTTGAGACTTGTGTTGAATTGTGGGTAGTTGTGCTTTAGAATACAGGATTTGGCGGCCAGGATAGGTACAGGATTGAAAATGTCAGTTGCTACAACTGAGAAGTCATCTTATTGTATAGAGGGCTTGCCCTCTGCATTTAAAAAAAAAATCCTTCGTTTTGGATATATATGTTTTTGGGTTTTTCTGCCCTGGTGAAAATCAAACCATCTATATAGAGTAAAAGCCTAAGCTATAGCATTGTTCCTCTAAATATGAGGAAAGTGATGACTGAGAAATACACTTTATTGTTGACACTAGGTTGTTGTGTATAGAAAACATAAAGTTGTTCTCCCTGATGTGCAGTTTCATTTTCCGTTGATTCAGTTACCTGCTTTGTCCTGTCTGCAATATGAATAATTCTTTGTCCAGCAAATCCACGCTGTGCACATAATCTGCCTTTGTCACTTAGTAGCCATCTCAGTTATCAGATCAACTACTGAGAGTTGCAGGGCTTGTGTTCAAGTCACCCTTACTTTACTTAATAATGGCCCCAAAGCACAAGGTTAGGGATGTTGGCAGTTCAGATATGCCAAAATGAAGCTGTGAAGTACTTCCTGTAAGTAACAAGGTGAAGGCTTCTCTGAATATATATATGCACAGGAAAGAATAGAGTACACAATATGTTCAGTATTCCCTGTGGTGTTAGCATCCACTGGGGGCCTGGGAATGTGTTCCCTGTGGGTTAGAGGACAGCGCTAACTACACTAGGAATCTTAAGACAGCGAGCTAAGTTTGAGGGAGGAAAAGCCTATTTTAGCTCCTTTATCCAACTTAATCTTTTTCCTGATATTTCCAATAGACACAGTTGTCCACTCATTTTTCTCATTCCACTTTCTATTTATTGTCCTTAATGGTATCACAGCATTCTCTGGGATTCCCACATTGCTGCTCAGTGACACTTTGAGTGTATTTTCTTCTCTGCTCTCTGTTGTTTTTGTCTTAACTTTTAACTCCATCTTTAAAGTCACATTTGTAAAAGTGGCAGAGATGCTTGGGCTTATTTATAATCAGATTCCTTCCTCTGTCTGCTACAGAAGTTTTTAGTGTTATTTTCCCCTAAAATAATAGGCAAAGGAAGTTTCTATTTGAGAGTTCTTTCATTTTGGTAGTTGGCCTGAAGCCTAAGAATCAACTCTATAAATATAACAGTGTATGAAAATCTCAATTCCCTTGTAGAAGACCCATGGGATATCCATGACCTTGGAGCACGGTACCAGGAAAGCCCAGCTGGTAATTCAAGGCAAGTTCAAGAATTAATATTTAAGATAGAAGCTTTGTGGAAAGTCTTGATGGGGGTACTGGGAATGAGAGAGTACTAGTTAATACTGAATGTGAGAAAACTTACATGGGAGTGAATCCCAAAGAATGTAATAAAATTTGAAATGCCCTTTTACCTAAGAGACCATAGTAGGATCCGAGGATTCAAACTTCAAAGTCATCTTTTGACTCTACTGAATTATCCAAAGTAAAGTGCAGGCAGCTGAGAAATCTTGTGGATGAAATGCAGGTGAAGGTTCATTTTATCCAGTGTTAAACTGCAGTATGGGACAGGATTTTCACAGTGGAGAAACCCTACGAACCTAATATGGGAACATCTCTAGAAGTTGGTCCTGAGAGTAACTTGGAAAACACACACACACACACACACACACACACACACACACACAGCCTTAAAAGTCTTATCCATTGCCTGCCTCAGAAGTGTAAGGTCCTGAGTTTGATCCCCAGTACTGGAAAAAAAAACGTCTTATCCATTAATGAATTTGGAACTTTCTGTGTAGGACTGGAGAACTGAAAAAACTTCAGAAAATTCATCACCAAGTGGAAACCTATGAATGTAATCAATGTGGAAAGTCCTTCTGCCAGAAGTCTGCCCTCATAGTGCATCGGCGTACACACTTTGAGAACAAGTCCTATGACTGTGGTAAATGTGGGAAATCCTTTTCTAAAAGTGAAGACCTCACAGTACATCAGAAAATTCACACCAGAGATAAAACCTATGAATGTAAAGAATGTAAGAAAATTTTCTACCACCTGTCATCTCTTAGTAGACATCTAAGAACTCATGCAGGGGAGAAACCTTATGAATGCAATCAGTGTGAGAAATCCTTCTACCAGAAGCCACACCTCATGGAGCACCAGAAAACACACACAGGGGAGAAACCCTTTGAGTGTACTGAATGTGGGAAGTTCTTCTATGTGAAGGCATACCTCATGGTTCATCAGAAAACACACACAGGGGAGAAACCCTTTGAGTGTAAGGAATGTAGGAAATCATTCTCCCAGAAGTCACATCTCACAGTACATCAGAGAACACACACAGGGGAGAAACCCTATAAATGTAAGGAATGTGGAAAATTATTCTCTAGGAATTCACACCTCAAAACCCATCAGAGAACTCATACAGGAGAGAAACCCTATGAATGTAAGGAATGTGGGAAATGCTTCTACCAGAAGTCAGCCCTCACAGTACATCAGAGAACTCACACAGGGGAAAAGCCCTTTGAATGTAATAAATGTGGGAAACACTTTTTCTATAAATCAGACCTCACTAAACATCACAGAAAACACACAGGGGAAAAGCCCTATGAATGTACAGAATGTGGTAAATCTTTCTCTGTGAATTCAGTCCTTAGATTACATCAAAGGACTCACACCGGAGAGAAGCCCTATGAATGCAAGGAATGTGGAAAATCTTTTTCACAGAAATCACATTTTATCATACATCAGAGAAAACACACAGGAGAGAAACCCTATGAGTGTCAGGAATGTGGGGAAACCTTTATCCAAAAGTCCCAACTCACAGCACATCAGAAGACACACAGGAGAAAGGAGAAGGGTGACAAATAGTATGAGTTCGGAATTTGTCTGAATTCATCCTTCAGCATAATCACATAATTCACAGGAGAGAAACCACATGTGTATCATTAAGAAGGGAACATTTTCAGCCAAATTTTTTCCTTGTAGAATATCAGCAAATCCACAGAGAAAACATATAAATTTATTAAGGAGAAATTTATACCACATGGTAGACTTTACTGAATATCAGACAATATAGATGGCAGAAACTGAACAAATTATAACACATGAAGAAAAATTTTATTTCAGAAGTCACACTTTATTTTGCAACATAGAAATCACATAGGAGGGCCAGGGATGTACCTCAGTGGTACAGTGTCTACCTGGCAAGCGTGAGGTCCTGAATTCTATCCCCAGTACCAGAAAAAAAAAAGGGAGAGAAAAAAATCACATAGGAGAGAAATCCTCACATAAAATGAATGTCAAGTTTTCTGTCAGGACAACCAGCACTACATACCCAAAAGCTCACATGTATGAGAAATTCCTGAGGGTATCCTGAGTATTCTGAAGTATTTTTACCAAGTAACTCTCATATATTAGAAAATGCAAAGGGATAACTGCAAAGATTGCAGCAAATATACAAGCCTTTATCAAGAACCGATGTTCCACTGAATGTCACATCAATGTCTGGATAATACCGTTATAGATATTTGAAAGATTTTCAACAATACAAGAACATGTACTGAGGAAAGCACTTACACAGTAAGTCATGTGCAGATTCCAAGATTGCTTTTTCTTTTTAAAGAAGACTGCAATGTGTACATATATGAAGTTTTTAAAAAGCCAAAATAAGTAATTAGGCAACATCATTAAACATACATGAAGAGTCTTTGTAAATAGGGCTTCTGTATGTGAGTGTGCTACAAAATGTAACTTGATAGATGTTTGACATGCATGGGAATCCATCTATAGTTGTATATAGGAAAAAGTCATCTTAGTTGAGTAACTGTTATGTACAGGAAGATCTGACCCATTGTCTCACGGGTGAGTCCTGTTGTTAATATAATATGTATTGTACTGTTATACTCTTTTAAATTATAATGTATCTTTTCTGCCGACTTCTGGCACTTGTTAATGGATATATACATTGTAACTGACCTAACCCTTTAAAATGGAGCTGGAATGTTTTTGTGAAATATTCAGCTGTGTGGTCAGCCAAATTTTGAATGAGGGACATATTTATTTTTGCAAAATTCTGAGCTGCTTTTAAAGTAGCTGAAAACAGTAAAATTAATTGCACTTACACAATAAACACTGAGTGCTCTGCAAGAAATATTATTTCTCTTATCTTACTGTTGATGTTTGAGCAGGGTATTGAGCTGTGTTTATATTCTGTATTAGAGTCCTAACTATTTTTCCCTGCCTTTCCTTCCTAGTAGAAGTGACGTAACTTAATGGGTAAAATGTGGACTCTGGACTTCTATGGCCTTGGCCCAGATTCCACCATGGGGCCTACCACTCATGCCTGCCATGCTTCCGTTCCTTTTCTGCAAGAGTAGTATTAGTAACATCTTAGGACTGCTTTGAGGTTGAAATGAATTAATATTTTTAAAGCACTTAGAATACTGTCTCAGACTCAAGATATTAGATATTATCATTTTATCTTACATATTCTGAATTACTCTGCAAAAAAAATTTGGCAACCAAATATTATCTCTCACCTTATTGCTGCTAGTGCCTTGATTTTTTTCTTTTTTTCTTTTTCCTTTTCTTTTTCTTTTTTAGTTTTCTTCAAGTAATTCAGAAGTAGATCCTGACTGGGCTAGGACAGGGATTGACAAACTATAGCCCATCAGCCAGATCTGGTCCACAGCCCATGTTTGTAGCCTACAAGCAGAGAATAAATTTTTATTACTAAATGGTTGAAAATTAAGAATATTTTGTGGCATATTAAAATTATATTCAAATTTCAATGTCTATAACTGAAGTGTTTTGAGAAAACTCATACAAACAAACCACATTTCTTTTTTTTTTTTTTTTTTTGGTACCAGGGATCGAACTCAGGTCCTTGCGCTTGCACAGCAGGCAGTGAAACCACTGAGCTAAATCCCTGGCGCAAACCCCATTTCTTTAGGGCTTGCCTGTGGCAGCCTTTACACTATACCAGCAGAGTTGAATAGCTGTGCACAGAGCCCAAGACATTTACTACACGGCACTTTACAAAGTAAGTTTTCTGTTACCTAGAGCCAAAAACATTACAGCCACCTACAAGTATACTTTTATAAAGGTCATGTGTTTTGGAAATGATGCACACAGCAATCTGTGGCTAAGTTTTTTCTGTAGTATATGTATTTTGTGCACTATATATGTTAAAAGCTTAAGCTTAATAGTATTTTTTCAATGAAATGTGTTTTTTTACTAGCTGAATTGTCATAATATCAAAAAGAAAAATTTCTTGGTGGAGTGTAACAAATATATGAAATAAATGTTGTCTAAATGAAACTGAATTGAATTGCTGATTGATCTCCCCTGCAGTATTTTTTTTTTCCGTACTGGGGATTGAACTCAGGACCTTGTGCTTTTGAGGCAGACGCCAGAACCACTGAGCTAAATCCCCAGCCCCTTCCTATAGTATTCCTTTATCTTCTTTCAAATTAACAGCCAACTTTCCTGTATTCTTTTACATCTTTTTCATTCTCTCATCATAAGATATCATCTCTATGTCATACTTAACATCTAATAAAATTTACAGTACTGAGCTCTACTGGCTACATTATTAATAATTCATAAAACTGCCTGAATTTGATATACAGATTCTGCTTCACTTTTTTTTTCATTAAGTTTATTGGTACATTTTAGGTATAAAATACAGTTACATTCATCATTGAGATCTTGTACCTTTACATGATGTTTCTTGGTCTTTATTTTTTTCCCCTTCCCCTGCCCTCCCTTCACCCCCTCCACCCTTCCCTATTTACAAAGACTTTGTTTCCACTTTTTTTCCTTTTCTCATATTTTTTTCTTTTCCCTTCTTGCCTTTCCTCTACCCCTCCAACGTCCCCTACTCCTTTAGACCTTTTCTTCCTATTACCTAATATCAATTATACATTTTTAATTACAGTATCAAAATTTAGAGTACATTGCCACAGATTTTATAGAATTTAAGAGGATATAGAAAGCATATTACAAAAATCTTTTTTGAAGGGGAAGTGAGAGTGGAAGGGGAAAGGAAAGAAGGTAAAGGAAAAATTATGAGAAAAGAAAAAAATGGAAACAAAGTCTATGTAAATAGGGAAGGGTGGAGGGGGTGAAGGGTGCACAGGTAATGTGGAAAAAATAAGAACCAAGATACATCATGTACAGGTACAACCACCTAATGATGAATGTAAATGTACTGCATACCTAAAAAATACCTAAAGAAGAATTGAAGAAAAAAATCTTTTTTGAAGTAATTTTGAAAGCTTCTAAGAAGTACCTTGGAAGACAAATTAATGAAATTGACTCTGGAGGAAATATAAAATTTGAATAGCACCTATTAAAGTATATTCCTAGCTTGAAAACCTACCTATATGACAACAACAGGATCATATACATTTTAACTGATGACATATCAAACATTTAAAGCAGAAAAAAGAAGGAACACTTCTCCCCCCATTTTAGGAAATCAACATTGTGCTAATACTAAAACTGGATAATGATAATAGAAAACAGTACGAACATAGATAGAAATTTGTTTAATAAAACTATTAAAAGTCAGATCTGGCAGTATGTAGAAAGTGGTTTTATTATAGGGATGACAGTGTTGGTTCAGCATTGGAAGATACACCCCCAAAAGTCATCATTTTAACAAAGGAAAGGAAAAAGCCATATGATCCTGTCAGTAGTTGCAAAAAAAAGTATTGGACTAAATTCTACAGCTGTTCGTGGTAAAAGCTATCAGGAGACTAGAAGTAGAACTGAACATTTTCCACAGATAAGACATATACTCCATACTTCCAGCAAAAATGCCTTATATGAATGGAAAAGTTACAATGCTTTCTCCCTAAGTTGGGGAACAAGGGCAGATATGCCTACTCTTTATCTGTCCATTACACTTTGAAACACAGGCCCAAACCAAAATAGTTTGGCAATAAAAAGAAACAGCATAGGATTGACAAGGTACAAGTAAAATCTTTATATGTAGATGAAATGATCATCTACAGAGAAAATACTAAGAAATATCTAGGAGCCTCTAGAACTTGTATTTGAATTTAGCAGTATTAGAAAACACAAGGTATATATAAGAATTCAGGTCTATGTATACTTCCTATAAATGAATTGGATATTGAAATTTAAAAGTTATGTAGGACTACAAAGGACCTAGAAAAGTAAAAAAAAAAGAAGAAAAACAGTGTTGGAAGACATTTATTACCTAATTTTAAGACTTCCTCTAAAGCTACAATAATCAAGGCAGTGTTGGCATAAGGAAAGACATATAGAGCATTGGAATAAAACAGAATCTAAAAATAGAACCACACATATATGGTCTACTGAGCTTTGAAAGATTATTTAACATTAATATTTTATAGATCATAAACTCAAGAGCTGAGGAAAAGATAGTGTTTTCAGCAAATGGTACTAGATCGCCTATTATCCATATGTAAAAAAATAACCTTGACCCTTTATTTCCATACATAAAAATAACTTGATCTATGAACCTAAATATGAAAGACTAAAACTATAAAACTTTACAAATAAATTATAAGGGAAAATGTTCATGAACTTAGGGTAGGCAAAAACTTCCTAAGGTACAAAAACATGATGTATAAAAGAAAAAAATCGATAAATGAGGTTCCATCAAAATTTAGAACTTTAAATGACATCATTAAAATGAAAAGTAGTCCTTAAACAAACCATATTTATAATACATATAACCTATGACCAGAATATATAAAGAACTCTTACAGCTCATTAATAGACAACTCAATTAAAAAGTAGACACAAGAAGATGATAAATAGCCAGTAAAGCACAAGGAAAGGTGTGCAACACTAGAAGCAGAAAAATACTAATCAGTAAAATAACAAGATTGTATTATACATTCATTAGGGAGATTAAGTTAAAAGTTTTAAAAGAACAAATATCTGTTTAGGTGTGAACCTGTTAGAACTTTCTAATACTGCTAATGTGAATGTAAAATGATAAAACCATTTTGGAAAATATAGGAATTTCTTGTATTAATGTTAAGAACCAACAGTTCTGTTCTTCAGTTTTAAGAGCAATGAAAACACATGTTCAATCACAGGGGAGGCTTTAGGGTCAGCATGCCACGGCTCCCAGCCCAGAGGAAGCTTCTGGGTCAGTGAGCCACAGCTCCCAGCCCAGAGGAGGCTTGCGGGTAGGCATGCCACAGCTCACAGCATGAAGGAGGCTTCCAGGTAGGTGTGCCACAGCTCCTAGCACAAAGGAGGCTTCCAGATCATTGGACCATGGCTCCCACCCCAGAGGAGGCTTCTAGATGAGCATGCCACTGCTCCCAGCCCAGAAGAGGCTTCCAGGTCAGTGTGCCATGGCTCACAGCATGGAGTAGGTTTCCGGGTAGGCATGCCACAGCTCCCAGTGCAGGAGGAGGCTTCTGGGTCAGCGTGCCACAGCTCCCAGCCCAGAGGAGCCTTCTAGGTAGGCATGCCAC